AAACAAAAATTCTATTCATGCACGTAGAGCTATTTTTTCATTAATGCTCTTTTATTTAGGAAATCTTAATTTATTATAATAAAATTTAATATTATTTAAATAGTACTACCAAAAAGAAAGATTTACTGTTTTATATCATTTAAAAATTAGATAAGAACTGTTATTTTGAAAAATTTTTTTCAAACGGCAAATTATGTGCAATCCAGCAATTTTATACAGAGATATACAATTTTTAAATTATAAACTGAAATTTGAAACATAATATTTTGTGCAATTATATCATGGATATGATTATTTCGACGTCCAGAATTTTTCGCGACGAGGTGATGAGAGCATTAAGTCACTTTGCTTATTTACAGGCACGCTACATACGTAAAACACACGTATAGCTACGTATAGCAAATTGTGCACAAGTAAGGCAAGCCTCTCGGTGAGCGTTCATCAGCCTCGATTTAACGGATTTACACCATAATCTTGACCGTTTCTCACTCCTTTTTCGCTGACAAACGGCGACGTAACCGCGCATTCTTCGCTAAGGTGCACGAACACTGGTCGTTGAGTGTCAAAGTCACGATTGGGTGATCAGCAAAATTGCTCTTAACAACAAGTGCGACATGTCGAAATAAAATTGTGGGATAGTAGGGCTCGCGTGATTGAAATATTTAAATTAGGAAGCGTTTTTCAGATACTCTTATTAGAGATTTTTGACAATTGAAGTAGGTGAAAGACGTTTTAAATTGTCTTTTGATTGGTATAATTTGTAAATTTAAACAATTGCTATTTTATAATTAAAAACAAGAAAGAATTCTTGTATTAAATATTATTTAACATTTAAACGGACTTATTAACGTCTTTTTCCGGTTGCTGATTGTGACTTTCTGAAATTATAACGTAACGAGTTAAACGACTGAAAGCCCGAAGTTGTGCAATTGTCATTTGGGTACAATGACACACAGTTATATGTAAATTAAGCGCTCTACCATGAAATGCAGTGAATCATGGGAATATAAAGTAATTCATAAAATTGAAATATTACGCTTTTGCCTTAAATCAGTATTATAATTTATTCAAAACCGGTTTTAAATTAATTTATAGAAGATATCTTTTTTGAATTAATAAATTTTATTTTTTATTTTTTATAGTTAATAGTATTTATCGATTGCTTATTGCAGTATATATTTTGTTTGAGCAAATATTATTTCACAAAATATTAACGTAAAGTATTTTATGGATGGACATTATATATAGTATGGACATTACATAATACCAGTTTGAAGTAGAAATATTGAATATCTTAATTATATTCTTTCTTCTATTATATTATTAATATTTTATATTAATTTTTGGTTGAAATATTGTTTGCGTAGCGTTAAAAATAACTTTTACAAATATTCACGAATACCGGATATATCGTTTCTGTTGCGTGTAGAATGTAGATACATTTGTTTTGCTGTCAGACCGTATCGAAGAAGCCTCCCAACCGTTTCAATATCCTGTCGTACAAAATGCAATGGCAGGCGTTAGTATCGTAATTGAAAACACGAACGAAACTCAGTATTTCATTATTACAGATTTATTAATTGCATAAGATTCAGATAACTCATTATACTTTATGAAAAATATTGGTTAAGAAATTAACAATTTTGCCTTTCAGCTTACGTTCTTATAATCCTCTAATTCATCTTTTTTTTTCTCAAAATTTTAGAGAGAATGTTGAACTGCAAAAAAAATTTCGAAGATAAAATTACATCTGATTTTGCAATCCTTCTAAGTTGCGTTTCCGCTTGGGAATGATATAACGTGATAACGCGGACGCTGCATTTTCCACAATGATGAAAATCCGCAAGACTCCAATGCAGATTCACGACAGAGTGCACTCGATGTGCGCAATGTGCGTTTTAAAGGCCAACTGCGACGGACTTGATCGGGCCGCACTAATACGCTTTTGTCACGAAGCAACGAAGTGCATTGCCGCTACACCGCAATTTTTCTGTTCTTTTCCTCCCGCTTTCCTTCTCGATTCCGTTGCGATGATAATAAGCGAGGCGCTGTTTCGCAAGTTGATTAAACGGGCTTATCGCTCAGACGGGAGGATGTGAGGATGCGATAAGGCAAGTCTTATTGATTTGCTCGCGTATCGATAGGCCGATTGATAGACGCGAAAATGATATCTCGACCATCTCGGGAGATTAGAAATAACCGTGTCTTTATTGCTAAGAAGTTTACATAACAAAATGTTGATGTCTTCCACTCGCCTTGAGCGAATTTATTTACAAACGAATGGCCGTCACGACTTGCGTATGTCATGGATAGCGCACGAGCGATGCAAACAATACAACCGCGGTTCTTTTCGATTCACTTGATTACATTTGCACTCTAAAAAGGAGGCAAATATGAAATAATTCTCAATGATGATGTTAAGATCTTATCTTGTTCAATAGAATTCATAAATGTGTAAACGCAAAATTATTCCTGGAGCAAAAAAATAAAATACTTTCCTTTATATCTGTAACTTGTATATCTAAACATTCCAATAAAGTTATCACAAAGGCAGTATATTCCATAGATATTCTTCTATTTATCAAACAAATTCCATTGTTTTGTTACAAACAAAATGATTTCCCTTTAAAATCTCACTTTTGTATTGATATATCAATGCCTATGAATTCCGATCCAACTTAAAAATATACAAAAAAATATACAGTTTACTAAATTATCACCGATCCCTGTAACCGCTGCCGACGTCAATCGGACTGCAGGACAAATTAAATGAATCGTGTTGGAAGGCTACAAGAAAGGGTCGGACGAAGCGGAAGTTTGGCACACTTACCAACACTTACCGTGGATATCGTCGATGTGACACGACCTGTCCACTCGGCACAAGTGCGAGTGGGCGTGCCGATTTCCTACGAATACAAGGTTCGCGTCAGTAAGGTAATGTAAAAGCGTGTGTAACGTTACATGTACGCACCACTGAGCGTGCACGCATCATCGTGGAACGCCGTGGCGACGTGATTCGAAATCATTGAACTCGCATTAATTTGTTGCGGAAGTTCGACAGTAGCAAACGAAATTGTGAAACAAATATAAATGTTTTATACATGCAGTGTTACATGACACGATTTCCGCGAAGCCATTTCAAAATATTAAGCAATTTTATAAATAACAATTTAATATTATATAGATTTTATTTAAAACATGATTTTATATATATATATATTTTTTTTTATTTTATTTTGTAACTACACATCTTTTAAGCGACCCTAATCGATTTTTTATTATTGTACAATATTTTATGTTACTTGTCTGGAGATTTTATTGAGCCTTTAGACTTTATTTTGAATTGTTTAAAGGAGGCGTCGATAATATTGCATAAAATAATTTGTACAATAATATTGAGCGTTTAGGAGCCGTTTTATATTCCCTCGATACTGCAAATGTATTATGACGTAATCCAGATAATCGCTATCTTTTATTAATAGAAACAATAAAAAGATGGGTAATTATAGTGACAGCAATATTAGCGATAATAGAATAATGTGATAGTGCGATATGTGTGATTATGCAATCGTTGCTGTCAGTTCACTGACATTCCCTATAAAATTGACATAGGTGTGCCGAAATCCAAGTTCACGCATCACTAATAAAGTAACGTTTGTAAAACGTTCTCTGCGTCACGGGATGAATTATGGTCATTTACTAGAAGCACAATCGTAGGCAGGTGCAGCTAATGAGGACAAGGGCTTCGAATTGTGTACGCGGATATATGTGTAATCGACCGTTAAGTAATTTACATTCGTAAAAATCGCACACTTCATACAATTCCATCAATAAAGTTACAAATTATTATTTTTAAAAATAATTACGACTGAAATTAGTAGTTTCTCATTTAGGCTAAGATGAGATAATTATAAGGTATATTAATTTTTTTCTTAATAAAGATTTTAATGATCGAAAACGTAAAGATATATCATTTTATTAATAATAAATATTGCCTTTTTTCTCTTTACAAGAATAAACAATAATCTATTACATTAAAATTAGCATTTAACTATCCTGATAATAAAATTCAATTTTTGCTAATTACATTTGCGAGAGCAAGCATTCCGTTCATAATTTGTAGCTGATTTAGTTACTATTTGAGGTATTTGTTACAACTTCAGAAACGTTATCGATTACATCGGTAATGTTCAAAACTAATCCATGCTCATAAATCACTAATTTGAAATTTAGAAATGTTTATTGCGCATGATACTCTGACATCATTCGATGAGCGATGAGGCAACTTGATTTACGGGTTAAATGTTTGTCGAAATCGGTGATGATGATCCGTTCGATTCAACACTTAATGCAACACACGAGACTGCCTTGGAGTCATCGGTCTGCACGCAGAGATCCTTACGATCTCCATTCTAGTGCTTTGTTGCGACAAGCTCTGATCACGCTCGGCATGTTACGGCATTGGATTGGATTCGGATCATTCCTAATCCAGTATCGACATGCGCCTGGTTGCAACATCGTGCCGGTAGATTACAGATAATAACAGCGGATCAACCATTCGATCTTACGTTACTTCGCATAATTTCGTTAAACCTCCTCAATTTCAAATTTAACAGCTATTATTTTTTCATACATACAATAATGGATTGTATCATTTATCAAATAATTCAAGTGTAACTAAATTATATAAATAACAACATTTAGTAGATCGTCAAATTATTGACGATTATAGTATGTTTTTTTATTGTTTGTAATTTAATAAAGTTTTAATTTAATAGTTTTAATATATATACACTTAGATTTCGATCTTTTCTCTTTAGATTAAATTATATCTTTTGTTTCTATTTTTCTTCAATTATTAATGTATCTTGCATTGCTATTTCTTCGTTATCTCATATTATTGATTAGCAATATTGATTCTGTTAAAATTATGTAAGCTTAAGAATTAGAAATGTTTTTGCTTTTATTTTACCTGGAATGGATTTTCTTCTATGTTACAGGCCGAATCTGAAGTCGCCGCTTTGAATCGTCGTATTCAACTGTTGGAGGAGGACCTTGAAAGATCCGAGGAGCGTCTTGCCACTGCCACTGCCAAACTGGCGGAGGCATCGCAAGCTGCCGATGAGAGTGAACGGTAAGTGTTCATTATACACACAACAAAATTATTGCGAATTTTTTTATTTATAATGATTCTGTATATATATATTCTCCGCAATGGACAGTTATCAAAGTAGAAAATACGATAGAAAATATTGAAATAGAAAAATATCTAAATATATCAATGTTCAAAATTAATTATTAAATACAAAATTATAAATATATTCCGATGATTATTTTATAATTTTTATGACTTTATAATAATAAGAATGTACGTGAAAAAATAGCTGTTCATTGTTATATATTTCCTTTTATTTGTTTGAAAATGATCAAGAGTAATAGGATAATACATATTGTATAATTAGATACTTGACATTGATACGATTTTTAACATATTTATTGTCAAGCTATCAACTATGATGGATGTTAGTATTTAACAATCGATGGTTGGCTAGAATATATTTATGAAAGAGCCGAGATTTATAATATTTTACTTTCAATCATTTTCATTTATTGTATGCAAATAAATTATCGGAAAATTTATTATACGTGCAAAAGTGGTGTAAATTAATGTTCGATTTTATCTCATTTTATAAAATTAAAGCTATAAAATTTTTATTATTATTATATATTTTTTTTTAATGTAATTATATTACATATACATGAAACATGAAAATCCTTCATTAGATATTTTTCGATATTAAAAATATTTCTAAAAATGTATTAAATATTCGAACATATGTAATAGATATTTTAAAGTTTCTTTGCATAATTATGCCACTCTTGCTTTAAATTCATTGTGTGTATTTTATTCACACATACATATTATAATATATAACGTAGTATATGATAAATATATTAATATAGAGTTTTATATTATATAATAATTATGGATGAATTTAATATTTTGAAAAAAAAAATTTCTTTTCATTATTTTACATTGACCTTGTATCGCCTTACATTGAAAGAATTAATATGCAAGAAAGAAACTTCTTGATTCCTTTTCCTACGATTTAATTATAGAATGCAGTGCAATGCATTGCAATTTTATATGACTAATATCGTGCCAAATACAGACCCGAACGCAACAACTCTTTAATATTCCAGTTATACATATGTAGTTATGATAAGTGCAGAAATTCGCATAATTATTATACCAATTTCGTTGTCCATTACATTTCGTTGTCTATTACAGATATAGGTGTACAAGTGATTTTGTAATCACTGTAAAGTAACGATGATGTAAACAATTCTAATGAACTGCTACGCTTTACATTATTTTATTAAAAATAATATAGGTCTATAGATAAAGAAAAGGATAATTCACGATATTTTCTTTCTTTCATATACTCGAAGATGTCTGTCAAATAAAATCAAAATAAGATCTTGCGGATTTTGAAATACCACATCCTAACCTACTTTTTGTGGTTATATATCGCATCCGCAGCGACGCGATTTACACAAACTCTTTCTGACTTAATTTACAATTGAAAATCATTTCTGGATGTCCGTTCTCTCTTATATTAGTTATGCATTATTTGAAGGATAACTAATTTATAACGATGTTGGAAGAATTTAAAACTCGTCATAACTGAAAGTCTAATTACCGATTATGATTTCTGTACTGCAGTACGTAAATGCTTAAAATAATGTTAGGCTCGCTTATCGTCGTTGATAACGAATGAGTGTACATGTTCACATGTCTTGCTATGATGTATTTTTTCACGAGAGAAAAATTGTCAAATCCGTACTTCTCTGATTTCTTGACATAATTATCATAATTACATTATAAAAAAGAAATTTAAAGACGTCATTTTTATGTAAATCGCAAAAACTAATTGATGCATAAACATAACAAAATAAATTGACATTAAAAAAAATCGAAAATTGAACTTTACATGTACGTGTATTTAGATTATTTTTTATTGTACTTTTGAAAAAATTTTTTAATCGAGAAAATAGTTATTTCGTGTACAGTGCTGATCATTCTTTCAACGACGATTAACTCATTTCTAAAAATCGATGAACGATCAATCATTAGGATACGCAAGGCCCTTGAAAACCGTACTAACATGGAGGACGACCGAGTATCCTTGTTGGAGCAGCAGCTAGCACAGGCTAAACTGATCGCAGAAGAGGCGGATAAGAAATACGAGGAGGTGGGTCATCAGCGAACAAAGAGCGAAAAAATTGAGGGCAAACCCTTTATTTCTCTTTATCAGAGACGAACTACCAATCATTTAGGACGTTAAGGCGGTGACATCAATTTATAAATGAAAAAGAAATATTTACCTACCATTTGCTGGAACATTTTCACGGAAGGAATAGCGAATTAATTTCTGAAGAAGCATAATTTCACTTGTAATACATTAATAATCTCGTATAAAGCTAGAAAGGATCGTCCAGGTCGATTGGTAGTTCTTCTCCGGGATTGTCTTTCAGGTAAATTTCAGGTAGACGCATCATTGTGAGCTGAGCTGAGCAGAGATGTTTCTCGACGATCAGAAACCTATTTCTTAACTTAGTCCATTTGTCTAATCGATATTTTAACCGTAAATTCTTTCGTTCGACATGTGTCCACCTTAAAGCGCCCGCAAGATTCTCGAGAATCGCAGCTTGGCGGATGAAGAGCGTATGGATGCCCTCGAGAATCAGCTGAAGGAAGCCAGATTCCTCGCCGAAGAAGCCGACAAGAAATACGATGAGGTTCGCGCGCCCGCGACTACCACTGTCAAGCGTGTTGGATGCAGTGACGATGATAATCATGACGATGATGGTTCCTAGTCGATAGTCAAAATAGTGCCTAACCCCGTAACTCTCTGTCTTCTCTTTGTGTGCTCGAAAACACCGTGTTTCGATACATCTCCGTCGCGAATAAAAAAGAAAGTGCCTCGCACGAGGTATATTCCGTTCACTAAAATCATCAGTTGGTTCATCGAGGTTGTTTCGATCACGTTTAAAAAGCGAGGCGATTTTTGCGCGTTGCAAAGCGAAAATTTTTATTAATCGTGAAAAAGGCGTGAGAAGGTTGAGAATCCTTCGCGCAGTGAAATCTTGAGAAGGGCAAATCATGAATCGTCGATCTGTGTTCGCGATCTGAGCCGAATGAAAGTGGAAATTTTTTTTTCGTCTTTTAGAAGAGTATTGCGTGTTCGCGACAAGTGCAGTGTTCTAAAGATCGTTCTTTTTATTTTGTTAGATAGCATAGAGAGAATTTTAGAGATATAGGAGTCACGTGGGAAAAAACGGAGGAAGAGAGAGAGAGAGAAAAAGTGATGATATATACGAGTGTTCACACGTGTTTTACGAGCGCGACTTACATAAAATCGGGTATCTGTGATTTCAAAAGTGTTTCCGTTTCGACAAAAGCTACGACAAAATGTCTCAAGTGCCAGTTTCATAAATAGAGTTTAATCTTGTTATTGCTACATATATAATATTCCTGTTATTAGATACTTAGATTAGAGACGGCCGTGCGACCAAGTTCGGAGAAGTTCGTACGCGCGCGTGTTTATAATTCGATCTCTTCAGCGGGTATTAAAGTCGTCGTGGAAGTTTTGAGCCGCGGTGCTCGGTTGGTGCTCGGTCTGTCGCTCGCTTTCCCGTGAGACCGGCCTCGTTATTAAATTTAATAAGATTATCGTCAATTGTGATAACACCGCGTGAGACCGCGCGACTTTATCGCGGCTCTCCGCGCGTCAACAATTATAAATGGTGCTGCTTTTGTCAAGCTTGTCTTTCGGTAAGACAAGCGCGTTTTGCTTTACTGGAATTCAGAATGCGATGCCCCAGAATAACGAGAGTTGTGATGGTAGGTGTTTGCTGCGATAACGTTGAAATTACGGTGACACACACTTTGCTATTTGTCCGTTCAGAGATTACAGTATCAATCATCAGGATAAGATATCTCTCGAAATCTTTTTTCAGTCCTCTACATGATATGTGATATAAATTATTGTTTGCGGTTCTGAACTGCCAGTATAATTTTACACATTTTTATATAAACATTTCAACTTTCTGGGACAGAATGTATTTATTATCATATTTATTTCTTCATATGTTTTTGCAATATGAAGTCTATGACTGAACTAGTATACACTTTTGGAACTTAAAGTGAGATAGATATTTGAGAAAGAGTTTTAATATAGGAATAAAAAAAACAGACTTATTAATTACTTTTAATTAATTTATGAAAAATTTAATTTATTTTTGTTAATAAGCACATTTTATTTATTTTTAATATTTTATTATTATTTAATTTTTAAAAAAGTTCTCGCAATCCTTTTCCTTGGAAATTATCATCATTGGAGAACTCATAATTTTTTGAGATTTTTATTGAAACTTCTCGTAAACTCACCGTAATTTCAACCACTTTATCATCTTCACCGATGACGTTCTTCTATGCGATCTGTTAAATCGTCGTTAATTAACAGTATGCGCAAAAACTAATCGCAGTGCGAGAATTGATTTTGTCGCGATGTTAATCAAATCGTTCAATTTATTTCAGTAGATAGTGTTGCTTCCACACAATCGTCTGTTTTGACCTTTTAATTAACGATCTAACTGCCTAACCGTTACAGAAACTTACAGAGATGACGACAAATTCTAACAGCAAGTGTGCCGATCTTCGTTAAACATCTTTTTTTTTTCATATATAAGACTTACAAACTTCATTCATTCCCAAAAACGTGTCGCAATTTTATCGTAAAATGGTTGAGACGTTGTGAAATTGGTAAAGTTTGCCAAGACAATTATAAGTTATTATACGACATAATTTTTCTCATAAATACTATACAATTTATAAAATCAACAAAACGCTCATTTTTATTCTCAACGAGCTGAATAAAATCTTTGTTTTCATTGAATCACGGATGTTACTTTTTATTGAATTATTCGAAGAATTATACTAACTAGAGATGAGAGATCAAATATAATACATAGATGCATAGATATAACGGACGATTCCGTGTAAAAAGGTCGTTTGTACCGTGCTAACTGTAATAGAAAATTTTCAAAATGAAGAGATACGAACAAGGGAACGCGGAAGTTGATAATCAAATCCGCGCTAATCGCAAATTTCTCAATTAAATTTCTGCTAGAAAGCCATTTTACGATCGATCGCGCCACGATTGTGCGGAAGTTGTGTTGCATGAATAAAAGATCGTCATGGAGCGGAATTACAGATATATCTAGTCATAATTGACACAAATCATCCATACTGAGAAAGAAAATTGAAAATAAACGAACCACAGAAGATTCTGATTATATAAATCAGTTTCGATTGCCTTAACTAGAATTCTAGTAGATTTAATTTAACTAGAAAATCTTAATTCGTCCATTTTCAATCAGAATTTCAATTTATCCAACCAGACATTTTTCTCAGTGCAGTCACAGTTAAAAGGCGTTAAAAGTTCTACTTTACGACGATCTTTTTCCCTAGCGTGACCATACATTGCTGTCTTACATGCGCTTACAAGTCCATCAGGACTTGTCCGTCAGGACTGAGCTGCAATTTGCGTGACACGACTTGCGTGCTGCTATCTCTGATCGTTTGTTTTTCGACGGCGTAACCGATTGGAAGATGCTACCCATTTGCGAGCGTTCAGCAAGATTGCTCGAAGAAAATTTATGTTAATGCAACAGTTTAGTTTGTCGTTAACGACGTGTTTTAATTTCAGTGCAAATTCGGAGATATCTTTAAAACGCAAAGTAGACATGTATTAAATTATATAAAATGTTGCATTAATACAATAAATTTTCTCGATCTACCGGTACTGAAAATACTTTTGACCGAAGTTGACTCTCATTTCCTTTTTTTCATGAAATGAAAAAATACTTTGCATAAACATGGGTTAAATGCCGTCGCACGAATTTCGCGAGCTCGTCAGCAGACTTTGAGCACATAATAAAGAGAGAGAATTTCCGTGAAGAATAATTCTTCCAATCACGGCTACGACGGCGATGACGAAGACGACAACGGCGACGACGAGACGCCGGTGTCTCGCCATCCCGCCGCCTCCGGAATTTTCAGAGGCGGCGAGGTCGTCGAGGAAACAGAGGAGGAGGGGGAGATAGAAAACAGCATATGTTAGAAACCGTGTGTATGTCGTTTATACAGGTCGCCCGTAAATTGGCCATGGTTGAGGCCGATCTAGAACGCGCCGAGGAGCGTGCTGAGGCCGGAGAGTCGTAAGCATCGTTTTTATTAGGCATCTTTCGTCCGGCACCTTTTGCCCGAAGTGCGAACGATCCCATGGCATTTCTCTCCTCTCATCTCGCCCAACCGCCCCCATTTCTTTCCATTACGCATCCGTTGGATGCGCTTCAGCTCGCTTCCGTAACTTTTGACAGCACCGTTAGCCCGCAATATGTTCGTCGTCAATGACGAAGAAGGCGGAAATACCCTTTAACCACGCCCGTGCCCGTTTTGCACGATAACGATGTTTTGTGATCGTATTTTACCATTTAAAAATGTTGTGTATCAGCTGTAAGACTTTTTTCGTCATGGAAAGCCAGAATTACGAAACATTAATCTAATTAAATACCGTCTCATAGAAGCTTACTAAATAATAGGTCGACAGTAATAATGGCTTTTCTACGACACTCTGCGTCTAAGGGAAATAAGTAAAAATTACATCGAATTTTTTTACCTTATTAATAGACATATAGTGTCAAAATACATACAAAATGATATATTATATTATCTAATGAGTTGATTTTTAAAATAATTGCCTCAAAAAGTTACCTATGGACGTAGATGCGAATCCCAATTGTAATTAACGTGTAGCACAGTGCACTCGCACTAATCTTTTAGCAGCCGAAAGGAACCTTGGAAGCCAGGAAACATCGGATTTTTATGCGTCTCTGCATGTTAACACCTAATCTTTTTTTTTTTTGTTTTTTATATTACTATTTTATGCCCACTTCCATCACCTTTGCTTTTGCGCATGACACGTGTGGCTGTTGATCACAGGTCGCCAGGAAACTAGTCTTGATGGAACAGGATCTCGAGCGTGCCGAAGAGAAGGCCGAACTTTCCGAATCGTAAGTGCAAGCTTATGCATGTGTTTATTTATCCTTTTTCCTCCATGTGCAACACTTGCTCATCATTTATTCGTTATAATCATTCAGAAATTTAAATTACCGACGAACGTTTCAATACGTAATTTTAAAATATAAAGATAGTGACTTTTATATTACATTAACAAATTTTTATAATACATTCACGAAAGATTTCTTATTAGTGCAGACTATTACGATAGAAATTTAATTGTTAATGTTTTTTATATGGGGATAAATTTGTTTTATTGCATAATTTGTATGACTTTTCATAACTTCGTATTACTTCTTCTCAAATCATTTAAAAATTACATTTTAAAAACAAAAAATATTTAAAAATATTGAAAACGTTTGTCCGCAATTTTTGATATGTTTCTCTTGTAATGACACAAATTGCGATATTAACGATTAATTAACTTTACAGAAAGATTGTCGAACTTGAAGAAGAATTGCGTGTCGTTGGCAATAACTTGAAGTCTCTCGAAGTCTCCGAGGAAAAGGTAAATGATTTATTTCATGCACCATGTACAACGTAATCAGGATGGAACTTAATTCCGTAGATTATATCGCCTCCCCAATTCTCATTTTATATTATAATGATTTTCTTAATTATCAATTAATTCGCGTCTAAAATGCTGGAAAATATTATGAATAGAAAGTACATTATAATATACCGTTTTTATAACACTCAATTTAATTGTAAATCATAAATTATGTCGATAAAAATACGTGCCAATAATTGGATTAAGTATTAATTTTATAATAGTCTTAAGCGTTCTAAAGTATCTTATAATCAGTCTTATGATCAAGTATTTTATAATCTATATATTTTGAAGAAAATCGCGTTATACGTACAAGAAATAATATTTACGTAATTGTACGTAGGCCAACCAGCGCGAGGAGGAATACAAGAACCAAATTAAGACCCTTACTACCCGTCTAAAGGAGGTACACATCCTTTGGGAGTGTCTTGCTTTGCATTTTCTAACGTGTGATCCATCCTCGCGTCGTAGGTCTTGCCACTAAAATATTAACTCGCGTGCCCTATCGTTTTGCTATTTGACCCCATTTTTTTTAGAAGTAACTAAACAGTATTTCCTGCGTTGCGGTGAACTAACGATAGCTCGTTTTGTCTTTTTGTTGTGCTTGATTAAAAACAGGCGACGCAACGAGAGGAGACGTTCGAGGGCCAGGTGAAGATTCTTGATAGTCAATTGAAAGAGGTAAGTGAAAGCGAGAAAGATCAAGATTATCATGAAGAAAAAAACCCTTTAATGTATATCGGAAATTTCTACTTTCATTTTGATTGTATTATTATTTTTTTATTAAAATATAAAATCGATATTTTCAGAAATGGAATAATATTTAAATATGATAAAAATAACCATAAAAGTAATTTTAATTTGTGTACGCGAAGAATAACAAAGGATTTACAAAAAATACGCGTGAAACTTTCGAGATTCATATAGAAATGTAAAGCTTCACAAATCGCATCAGATACGAAAAATACAAACGTATCAATAATATCGTAAGTTTTTTTGTCAGTGAACCTATTGTCCGAAAAAGAAAGAGTAGAGCATTGTTCTTGACAATAGCATATTAATTGTGTAATATAGAGTGTGCCGCAACTAAATCTTTCATGGCTTAGATTCAGATTCATAGCGTAGTTGCAATCATGTGTGACGTGAAATTTGTTTTACTTGCATGGCGTGATAAAAGAAACATTGATACCGATTATTTCAACGATTTCAAAAAAAAAAACAGTTATAAATCTTATTGAATAATTATGTTTCAATTTCATGCAGTACATATAATTGAAATAAATAACTTCTTTTTCTGTCTTTCTTTTTTTGAAATCGATGGATAATTTCGTTCAAAATATATTTTTCTGACTGACGAAGTATTGCGTTTGCGTAGGCTGAGGCACGCGCTGAGTTTGCAGAGAGATCCGTGCAGAAACTCCAGAAGGAAGTTGACAGGCTCGAAGGTGTGTATATGATAAAAAAAGAATACATTAATTATTTTTATTCTCTTCAATAATAACGATTTATCTGAATTCAATTAGATTTTTAAAATATATAAATATGTTGATATGTGTGTAAATATATAAATAGATATCTTTTATATTTGATTTACATATAATGTTATAATTGAATTTCTTAAGCGGAAAGAGAAAAAGAATTCAGAAAACAGTTTTTATATAAAAGCTGATATTCAGAATAACCAGAAATCATTTTCTATTCAAGTAATTAAGAGTCTTAAAGAATCACAGCTCTGCATTTGAAGAGTTTGAAGTGTTTGAATCGGTATTAGGCGCCATAAACAAAGCATAAAATTGTAAATTTCTAAATAATCTGTTTTTAAAGAGACTAGAGAAATTGATAAGAATGTTTCTATCCAGAAAATTCAAGTCGAAACGGTTAAATCTAATAAATCTAATTTTGAATTTATGATCAATTTTCCTAATTATACAAGGAATATAACAATTCGACAATCGTAAAGCAAACTCTACTTTTCCATGTGTGTATGTATGTGTGTGCGCTGTATTTTATTTGCGTATTTATTCTTCTAACCGCCGAAACGCAGTATGTTACGCTCGCGTGTGGCTTGCCGTGTGTGTTACTTCCCTTTAACCAGTGATCTTTACAGACGACCTTGCGGCCGAGAGAGAGAAAAACAAATTGCTACAGGAGGAGATGGAGGCCACCCTGCATGACATCCAGAACATGTAGATTGTATTTTTCGCGGTGGACGAAAATGCATAAACGCGAAAACGTTTAGAAAGCGAGAGAACATCCGAGAGAGAAAGAGAAAAAGAGAGAGAGATTGAGAAAAAAGAAATCGAAAGAAAATAAATGCAAGCAGGTAGCAAAACGGCGGCAACGAGAAGTGAACGAGAAGCAAATACGCCGTTACGGAGCGAGAGCTTCGTATGTGCACACTTCACCTAACATTAACGAATAAAAATGCAGTCTTTAGGCTAGCCTTATACCCTCCATTACGTCCATCCGCAGTGCGTATACGTACTATACATGCTTGTATGCGCTCGAGCGTGTGTATCGTGTGCGTGTTGCGTGTCTATTTGTATGCGTGTGACGTAAGTTACTGATGTAGGTTGAGAGGAAGAGAATAGAAAATGTGTGCATGTGTATATGTATGTGAGAGGAAGAGTACGGAAGATACAGAATGAAAGGATCAATATGACAGAGAGAGAGAGAGAGAGAGAGAGAGAGAGAGAGAGAGAGAGAGAAAGAGAGAGAGAATGTAAAAGATAGAAAGAATGAGGAAGAATAAATAATACGCGATAAAGACAGACGACAGAATAGTTCCATACATAATATGAGGTTACTTGTAATTGAAATCTGATTTTTTTAGCTTTAGATTTTAGCTTAGTCTGTTTTTAAATTTTAATTTAAAAAAAAATGGAGGCATGACTGCGACCGTTTTGAGACGTCTTCGAATGCGATTTAAATTCGTTATGAAAACGATGCGATTTAAATTCATTATGAAAACGATTACTGGCCGTGGGAGGAATACGTGAATAGGTATTAGAGAAACGAATATGAGAAATGAAGACAAAACAGAATTTATTTGTATCGAGAGAAGTTTGATGAGAAATTTGAAACCAATTTTTTTCGAGCATATTAGTTTTATGCGTTAAAGATTTTAAATACAATCTATTATAATATTGTACATTATATAATAATGTACATATATAATTATATAGTAAACAGCGACTCGTCTGACAGCTGAAGACAGGTTCTCCCTATTAAAGATAAATGTTGAGTAACAATTATTAAGTAACATAAAAACGTTGTTGAATATCTTTTAGAAGTGACTTACAAAAATTTTATCTTTTAATTGATTCGATCAGAGTCCACGATTTCATCGAATTTAGCGCGTGTTTCTCTCGGTACAAAATACGCGTAGCAGGATTGTATATAATGGAGGGAAACATGAGTGTTCATTTACTTTGCATCATTTTACATTCCGCATTCCACGCGGCTCAGCTCGCGCGAGAAGAAATTCGTCGTCAGTTTCTTCTGTTAGCTTTACAGTGAGATTATTGTCGCGTTATCTTCTCATTGCCGCCGATGAAAGCAAAGACGACAATGATGCAATAACCATGCATTTAAGAGGATTCCACTGCCAAACCTTCCTATTAATTTTTCTAAAAATATATTTTCTTAGTACATTTTTCTTCGTTGTGCAATATTCAGTCAAACAGTTACAATTGTATTACCAACGTAGTATTGCCATAATTCAAATTTTTTTCTTTCTTCATAATAAAATAATCGAAAATTATCTGGCCTATGCATATATGTGTTGTACGTATGCAGAATGGTTTAATTTCGAGCCTATGAAAAATTGATCAACGCATAATACTTAAGATAACAAACAGGGAAGCAACTGGCTACTTTGTCACATCGCAGCGCAGCTTCCCGTGCTAGCTGAGTCATTTCGATATTTTTTTACCGATCGTGCCTGTATATATTTACGATATAAATACTAACCACGGCCAACGTCAAACCTCAATGCAGGGAACGTGCTTCATTTCGAACGTAACAGCGAATGAGAGATTGGAAATAATAATCGATCGTCGAAATAATGCATATCCGATATTCCACTTCGCGGCGCATGGTTCGCCTCGAATTATTATTATTATTATTACTATTACTATTAATTGATACAGTTTGTCGTTAATGTTATTGCTACTTTACGCTCACCATCGAGCATCGCTAATCCTATAGAGAAATTTCCTCTTTTTTTCTTTTCTATTGAAAAGCGTAATTTATGTCGCGTGCCTCGACCTCGATGCCGTAACCCGTCACGGTTATTCTTGTAGCACTTTTCCTGCAATATATTCTTGGATGGCCTTTTGATATAGAAATGTGCATCGTCCTCTTCCCGTTTCAATATATAAACGCATGTATATTATCGTCGCACGATCATTGAGCGATCAGTGAAGATAGTAGAATAAATCGAATATGCGTTTCGGGATTGGCCCCTGAAAACAATAGAAATATTTTACTTTTCATATTATGGAAGGTACTTCAAATTTAATAATTTAGCTTGATTTGTATTGTATAAATCGATATTTTGATGTAATATTAATATAAGAATCGTTGTTAATTACGTGACTTCTAAATATAATCACGTATAATTAATTAGATTAATCTAATAATATTTCTTCAGAAATTTGGACTATTTTTGAATTGTATATCTCGTAAGTATGTCTCTATTTATATATACGAAGATGACGATGAACTAATCCAAAATACAATAGCTTATGCGATATCGAAAGGCCATCCAGAAACATCGCGATCGTTTGTTCTCCAAGTTAACGTCGCCACGAGCAAACGTTATTAAAAACCAGCAATAATGCAAAAAGCACAATTATGAGACCTACATATTCTATCGTTGATTTTTGTTAGCCACAATTTTTTTTCTTTCTGAATAATGCTAAAATTACGGAAACGCAGATACTTGAGTTTAAGAGAATTTTAGTTTATTAATTTACTTAATATTAATAAAGTAAATGGAACGATAATAACACTAATATCATTGTAATAATAATTGATTATTATATATTGCTATTATTATAAAACTGTTTATAATATATATTTTAATTTTGAAAAAAGAGTGTGTCGTTTGTTTTTCGTTGTGTCGTTGTTCTTTTTTTTTACCTGAGCTAACATTAATCCTCCACCGTTAACATAATGACGTATAACTACTTCTCCACGCGATAACGCTGTGTGGTCGCCTTGTTGTTAGACAATCTCGTAACAAAATTGCATGATGAAGGAAGAAAATGGTACGTATACCTTTTTTACGGTGAGTAAATTTGCTTAATTCGATTTTGCTATATTAATGCATGACAAATTTCCCTACTTATAATAAAATCAAAACTTCACGATTGTCTTTTATCATAAAATAAATATTATTTTATAGATATATCTTTTCAATTATTTGAGTAATTTACTAATGAAATTTTTTCGATATATGTATTATGTATACCATAATCGATATATGTACAGCATAATCGTTAATTATATTAACGATTTTACATCGTAAAAAAGTGAATATTTTCATGATTAATGCATCTAATTATTGAAATATGTTTCGTTAGGAAAATGTATGAAAAAAACTATTACTATAGAGTTAAGAATAGCATAGATATAAATTAAGGTACAAATTTCAATTATATCTAAAAAATTTGTATCTGACAAAAGAAATTTAACGAACATCAGGGTTGTAGAAACAATTGATGAATCTTATTTTTAGCTAAGATTCACGTTATTTATTTTTAATCCTTAAGTTATTTAATCAATTTAAAATAAATATTTTATCCTGCTTGGTTAATTCACTACCTCTAGCGCGGTATTAATTTTAACAATAATAAATACTTGCATCTCTTCAGCACTTTTTTCTGCAAACATTTTTCACGCTACGCAGTAGACGAAATCTAACTAAATAGCGGCTATCTATAACGTTGCGAATGCTTGCAGATGAGATGGTGATCGAAAAGGAGAAATTCAAGGAAGTCGGGGATGGCTTGGATAATGCGTTCTTCGAGCTCTATGGCGTGTAACGTGGCTACTAACTACCCTCCTAATGCTTCGATACAAAAAAAGAAACAAAAAAGATACCGATAGTCTTTCTTACAAATCTAGCTTGCGCTTAACACATCTTTCGTAAGTTACCCGTCTATGCTTTTTAACCCGCTCGTTGCTAAAATCGCAGCTTCCCGACCTGAAAAAATCCCTCATCTTTCTAAAGTGCGAAATATTTCTATGTACCTTCTTTCACATCGCTTAAAACTAAAAAACATTCCATGTACACTATTATGTTAGTAAAGGATCGAAGGTTCATGTGATACCTACATCTTTTCAGTTTTATCTCTTATCAAAGTTCATGCAAATTATCAATGCCCCTAATTCATACTGATCGTATCAAAGTACAATTGAATACAGTAACTGTGTGAATACATTCTAACGACACTATGTTTTCTTGCAGACGAGCTCGTCCACGAGAAGGAGAAGTACAAATACATCTGCGACGACTTGGACCTCACTTTCACCGAATTGGTTGGTTAAATCTGGCTGTCAAATATCCGCGTCCGCTATCGAATTATTTGACCGTAATTATCAACATTATACGCACAGTTCGATCGCGGGTCACAGCCATTCGACTCATATACTTTCGTTATCGTAATAAAAATCAATGTACTATAAATACGTTCCGCGTTCAGATTATTCTTTTTTTTTATTTATCAACTATTCTACTTCTCCAACTTTCGTCGGTATATACAGCCGCTCTATGTGAGTCGCGATTATTTATTTATTTATTTCGAAAACGCCGCTTACATCAAAATTACAAGCGCAGTTCTAATTGCATTATATTATACTTCGGTAATTGAGCATGCGGTAAGTAGAGCAAAAAGAAAAGTACAGTAAATACCCGATGTATTGTATTATTAATAAAATATTGAAATGTGAAAGTATCTTGATGATCTTTTTAAAATAGTTTGCGATTTAAAAAATTATCGAAAAATTGTACAAGGCCATTTTTGTTTCTAATATTTCTCTCTTTCAGAAATTATTATAGAACAAATAAAACATCAGAATTTAATATGCTTTTTTCTTTCACACTTGAAACATACCTTGTTCCTTAATAAGTTAAAGTCAGCTACGAGATATTTATATTTATAAAATATATTCCCATAAATATTTATCCGTATAGACTTTGATCTTATTTATATATAGACTAATCCTTTTAAAGTGAATTTCTTAGGTTTTAGATAATAGGATCAAATTAATTTTCCTTCATCCTCTATTCTCACTTTAAGCTGCTTCATAGATATAATAATCGTCTAAATCCAAAATATTAACCATGAAGATTATATGCTCGTTATGTTCTCTCTCTCTTTCTCTTTCCAATTAAAAAGAATATTAAAATGTACACCCGATTAACCATCATACCGTCCACTAATACCACGTTCCTTCCCTTCTCATTGCAGACGTACTGGTAAATGAGCGCTGTAAATACAAAGCGATCGCCGACGAGATGGATCAGACGTTCGCCGACCTCGCCGGATATTAGCAGGCAGGCTAAAATGCGTACAACCGGGGGTGTTACATGCGGGAAAAAGAAAAAAAGCGAGAGAAAAAAGAAAGAAACGATTCGTTCATGCTACGACAAAACGACACTGCCAGCACGCGGACCCTTCGCCACACGTCGTCTCGTCCGATTACATTAGCATT